AGAAGGACTGGTTAAGATTTTTCTTTCCAACTTGCAATGCTGTTGCAGAGGAGGAGGTGATAGTGCTTGAGCAGCATGAATAAGGCTGGAAAGCTTGTCCCTGCTCAGTTCAGAAGCCGTAGTCCCATCCAGCTCTGGTTTTGGCAGCCTTGCTAGCTTTCCCCTCTTTCAGAACTGCTTCTCTCATCTCTGACTTACCCTACGGCAGTCACTGCTTATGGGATGGAGTCTGGGACTCCTCTTCTTAATGCCCATGTCCTGGCCCCATTATCCAGACTCTTTGTGGCTGGCCTCTGATATATTCCAGTCTGATTCTCTTCCGGAAAAGCTGTTTGAAGAGCCCTGATGAGCAGGTGTGGAGGTTAGAAAAGGAGAAACGAGCTCATGGAAGATAAGCAACACAAAAGACTGGACCACTAAGGATCTATCATGCTGTGGGTCTTGGTAACGGTGGCTGGACTCGCTATCCTGTGAAGCCCAGGAAAATTAACTTTTCATTCCAGAAGAAAATGAGCTTTGCAGTGTTTTCCCACTCCTGGTGCAGCTACCCAAGCACTGCCAGGCTTTTCAGCATTGTTCTTTGTTTTAGTTGCAGGACAGGTAGCTGACTTGGTCTCTCCACTTGCTCGTGGTCTCCCGGCAGAGCAGGGAAACCTGGCCACCGTCTGCAGGACAGCAGAGCTTCGCACAGCCGACATGCATCGCGATGCTTGCGCGTCCAGGCAATACCCTCGCTGCTGTGCGTTGTAGAAAAGTCAAGCAAAGGAAAACAACAAAGCAGGAATTAATTTGCCTTTGCCTTCCTGCTCCCCTGTCCCTCAAATGCGCATTGTGAAGACTTGTGGAGTAATTGCAGCATGCAGCTTGTGCTGCCATTTCTAAACCACCTAATTGTTCTGGTTAAATGGGTTTGGAGCAGCTGAGGGACAGAGGAGTGTGCTGGCATGAATTTAAAATAGGCTTCTGTGTCTTTGGCATGAGCTGCAAGAAAGAGAAGCGAATCTGCCGCGTCTCGCAGCATCTCTGTTCCACCCGGTACCGCTGCGTCCCTTCTGAGAATGCTGTCAGAGGCAGGTTTTTGCAAGCTGCAGCCTGAAACGTGGGCATCATGCTGCTTTAGCTTCCCTGCTAGCAAGCGAGAATGTTACACGAACTCCTAGTTTGTATATCTTCGCTCTTGTATCTGGATCAAGCCCCTCTGGATGCTGGGGTCCCTCCCTAATTTTTTTATTTTTCCAGGGGTTCCCCCCGAGAAACCTCATCTTGTTAGCTCACGGAAACAATGCGTCTTTATGTGTTCACAGTAGGCTACTGCTGCCGAATGGCTGTTGTCGTTCCTAGTAACTAATTTCGCCTGTCAGAAATAATCACTCGGTACAGAATTTTATGAGCTGCTGTTGAAAAAAATACATCCAATTTTACATTGTGTGCATTTTAAAAACCCACTTATCCTTATGTTTCATGTGCTCAATAAACTGTACAGAGCTTCCTCTTTGAAAATAATTTTCCTTACTAACAGAATGCGACTGTGACTTAAACTCTATTTGCCAATGCATGTGTTTATGTAATGCAAAATTACATCCAAAAATATAGGCAAGTATAGCTGTTTTGTACAGTTATCTGTAACGATGGCCTTCACCAGCTCAGACAGTTGCCATTAGAGGAAAAATATTTAGAGAAGACTTTTATGAATCTCTTATACTGGAAAAGCCTCACTTGTTTGAGGTCTAAGATAGCTAGCATTTAATCACAAATCTAATCCAAACATTGTCCCCTTTTGCAGTCTGATATCTGAAACTAGTGGATGTGTTTTGACTAGTTTTTAAAGACTGTGAACCCGCAGGCAGTTGCTCTGAGGCAGCGGAGGTGATGGAGCGTGGCTTTGCTGCGGTCCTGGCGTGTGCGTGAGAGCCAGTTCCTGCTGGCTTTTTTTTTTTTTTTCTCCTGCTTGCAGCGTGGGAACAAGCTAGGCCTGTGGGAATTGATCAAGAGGTGGGAATCAGGGGGAAAATGCAATTGGTTATTGTGATAACCAAATGACATGTGCTTAGACAAATGTACCATTCATATCAGTTGATCTCCTGTGTGAATTTGTGTGTGCATTGGAGATGGAAAAGTTGTTGATTTTAGTTACACTTAGATGTGGTATTACATGATTTATTCTGACTCTGGACTAGAAAATGGTAAAACTTTTTATATAACAACTGTCAAGGAAAATTAAGGCTAAGCTACTTTATTTTTAAACCTCTTGCAATATTTTTTTCTGTATTTCAGAAAGCCAATACCATGTCCAAATATATTTTTGAGCATTTTATGAATACTGTACTTTAGCCATTAAAACCATTTTTTATGAATACTGTACTTTAGCCACTAAGATAAACACTAAATATAAGTAAAACACTGTAAGATAAACACATTAAGATAAACACTAAATATAAGTAAAAGATAAAACTAGATTCTGGGAGGAGAGACATAGGAGTGGTTCACCTAGGGAAGGAGGAGTAGGTGCCAGTGCAGGGAAACTTGGGCGCAGGTGGGGACGACCACGTAGCGTGCCATGGAGGTGTGTTTGATCTGTACGCGAAGAGGCATCTCATTGTGTTGGGGGAGGTGGGTCACAGAATCATAGGCTGGAAAAGACCTCTAAGATCATCGAGTCCAACCTTCCACCCAACACCACCATGCCTACCAAACTGTATCTTGATGGGTCACTTTGTAGCAGAATGCCCATGGGAGATGGCTGTAGCGGACTGGAACGACAAAGCGAGCCTTGGTGGGTTGTTGTAGCCTGCTATTGTAGGCGTGTTTGCACGGCTCCATTTGTTGGTTCCTGCAGAGCTGTGTCCATGTTCACTTGTAACAGGCTCATAGAGACTTTTGAAAAGAAATACTTTGCAGAGCAGTCTTGAGGAGGCAACTGTAGATTGCAGAAGTACAGACCGAATAAATAGCTCTAAGCAGAGGAGGGACACCAGTCAAGGTGGTTAATCATTGTGAGAGGTGCTGGGCTGTTTCGCCCTGTAGCAGCTTTTTTCCACAGTGGTAATCCCACTGCCTTGGACTCGCAGTTGTGTTTTCCTAGAGGATGGTCATGAGATAAGAAATTTGTAGTACTCGGATATTTCTTTGCGCATTGATTATGCAAAAGTTAGCACAACTAAAGAAAGAAGCGGAGAGTGAAAAATTAATGAATGGATTAAATGAATCTTGTCTTACAAATTAAGTTACTCTTTTCTGAAAAAGTTAACTAGTTCCCTCTACACTACTGATCCAAAACCTTACAAAGCTAATCTAGCTTTTTCCAGCATGCACACGAGTGTTGTGCAAGTGTTTGCTCACCTTGGCAGGTTTCAAAATACCTTGAGTTTTAAACTGAACTCAGAGCAAACTAAGAGAATCCAAGTGCTGTGTCAATTGTCTGGAAAGGCGCTAGGAATTTTCTTTGTACCTGAGTGTTATTAGTGTGTGAATTTATCGATTTCTGTAGGCAAGGGGTCTTTTGTTTTCTTTTATCACTTTTGCAAAAGCTCAAGTGTGAAGGAAAGCAGATGGTATCTTGGCTAAAGACAATAGAGAAACTAAATTTCTGATATATGAGTGCTGGGTAAGAGATACTTCCTATCATGGTAGCAATAGATCAACTGCTTCTCTGCATCTAGTCATCAACATCTGTTTACATATTTTATTGATGGCATAGAAACAATGTAAGCAGTAAGCCGTGATCTTTCTGCTGGAAGATCAAATCCATTCTCAGAGCGTATTTGTTAAATAAGAGTTCTTCCCAGGAGGTTTATGAGTAGTAGTGACGTTTCATTTGGACTGCAAGCTTTGGTCCATTGCTGCTAGATGGTCTGCACCCACTGGGGTGGAGGGACATCCAGTGAGGTGAAAAATGCCAGCTTGGTCTCTGTACAGGCAAAAAAGGCCTCGAGTGTCCTACATAGAACACAGGGTACCACACTGCTAAGTGTAAAGTTTGACTTTAACTGGATTCTGTATAATAATTCAATGAACTGTTTTATGTACTTACGAATTCCAGCCAGGCTTTCTGCACAGGTGATCTAGAGTGAAAAAGGAGTCATATTATCATCCATGCTACTTGACTTTGCAAGGTCATTTATATTTCCCTAGCTGAGGTAGAATCGCAGCGCGGTTGAGGTTGGAAGGCACCCGTCTGGATGTTATCTGGTCCAGCCCTCTGCTCAAGCAGCATCGCCTGAAGCAGGCTGCTCGGGACCATGTCCAGTTGGGTATTGAATATCCCCAGCCCTGGTGACTCCATACCCTCGCTGGGTGACCTGTCCAGGGTTTCTCTATGTTTAGATGGAACTTAGTGCATTTCAGTTTGTGCCCATTGCGTCTTACCCAGGCACTGGACACTGCTGAAAAGACCCTGGCTCCTTCTTTACTCCCTCCTGTCAGGTATTTATTACATGTTGATGGGATGCAGCCTGGACCTTCTTCAGGCTGAACAGTCCCAGCTCTCACAGTCTCTCTTCATTAATTCGTAGAAACTGTTTTTTGCAGGGGACTGGTTCTCCTTTATTTCCTGGTGCTTGTCCTGCTGTCTTTTTGTATTAGATGAGATTTTTCTCATAAACTTAGGTTGAATTGAAATAACAGATTGGCTTGCGAGACTGACTGGAAACAATTTTTTAGAAGTTCAAAGTAGTCCACACACATAGAGAAAGTAGAGAAGAAGAGCAAGGGAAAGCAGATATTGATCTTTACCCGCTGACCCCGCTAAAGCTGGGAGATACAGATTTAGCTCAGAAGGTCATTTGCCTCAACAAGACCTAGCATCAGACTCGAGTCCTAATCCTGAGACTGCTCTGCACATCAGCAGTAATCCATCAAAGCATGCTTTCACGTTCTTTGGGCTGGAGTTGGTGAAAGGGGAAACTGAAATGAATGGTGCAGTAATAGTGGCTGCATCCACAGGCACGAGAATAAGTGTTTGCTTTTCTTTTTTTTTTCAGAACGTCAGCCAGAAAATTCTCTCAAGATTGAGTCTTTTTGAGTAAAGAGAAGATAAAATGGCATCAATGTTGCTTAGTCGACAGCTGACCTGTTGCCTGCAGCAAAACCCTAGACTGCTTGTGTTTGGTAAGTGGGGTGTTTTACATTTTCTTGGTTTGTATTTGGTAAGTGTTCACTTTATGCTGGTGGAGAAATTTCCAGTGTGAATATTGCTGGGGTTTGTCTGGTGGTGTTGAATCTTTCAAAACTTGAAGAAACAATGTTCTGGTCTTAGTTGTAGTCCAGAAACAGGCCACAAAGCTGCTGTGCGTTTTTGTCGTGGTTTTTCATTTTTTGGTTTTTTTTCATTCTGCAAACAAGAACTCATTTAGTTAATAACTTGCACTGTGAACATGCTAACTGAAACGAAGCTCCTTGGCTCTTGGAACTCTGCTGTCACAGAGCTACTTTCTGATGCAGACAGCATCCCTCAAAATCAGCCTTTTTGTCTGTGTGCTGTGTAGCGGGACCCTGCTCATCGTCCCTCGTGGGGAGGTTTGGTGTGACTGACGTGAAGAGGTGGTCCTCAGTGGGGATGTGTGTTTCTGCCTGTGGTTAGCTCTAGTGTGAAATAAAACCCTACCACACAGCATCAGGCTGCTTTCTCTTAGCTGCATAGTGACAAGTGCTTGCTTGGCCCGGCTTGTCGTTTAGCATGTGTCTGTGTATATAAAGCTTGCAATCTCTGTGAAATAGATGTAAAAACTAAATTTCTGTTGGCTTTGTTGGACAAAGCAGTGTAGAATGTAAGATTTAGCAGTGTTCTTATACTGAATACAGTATGGCTGAATGGCTGTTTCCATGACCGAGTAAATCTTAATGTTCCTTCTCTCCTCCAGCCCTTCTTCTACAGGGCCACTGCACTCCTTCTGCCACTGCCAGGCAAACACAGAACCCTTCCATTTGCTCTGAAACTTAAACATGATTGATTTCCTTTGAAATAATACACTTTGGGGAGCAACGAACCTTTGGCTAAAGAACACAAAGTCTGGTGTTGTAACTATTGGAAAAGTATTAGGTCAGTGTTTCAGCATGGGATGCACTTCTATTTATGGGCGTGACGCACTGATGATCCGCGCTGTGCAAGAGCTGCGATCGTTCGGTCGATGGCAGGCGATGGAAAGTGCTTGCAGCACCCAGGCCTTCGTTAGTTGTCAGTCCTTGGAGCTCGCCTGTCACCTCAGCACCACTTAATGCTCCCTCGCCCTCCCGGTGTCTCACACGCTTCTGGGCAGCTTCCCAGCCGCAAAGACAGGCGCGTTGCACTTGTGCAAGGCGCTGCATGTCACCGGAGGGCAGATGTGCTCGTGGTTCCTCTCTCACCACTGCAGCGAGGGGCTGTGGATCTTCAGTAAGAAAGGAAAGGAACTCCGGGCTCTGTTCATCCATCCTTGCTTTCAGGAAACTTGCAAGTGGGAAAGCCTGCTAAAATATTGAAGCAAAGACTAGAGGGCCTTGGCTGCAGGTTGTGTAACAGACCTGGGGCCTGTGGGACTGAGCGCTTTGTGCGTGTGTCCAGAAATTAGAAAAGATGGAGCAAGAGGAGAGCCCCTCACGAGAAGGAGCCCTATCCTGGTGGTTTTTTAGCCTGCAACATTCCTGGCTGACAGAATAGGCAAGAGGCTCTGAGACCTGTAGCAAAAAACAGAGTGCCAGGCCACTTCTCTGGTGAGCCCCAGCTAAGGCTGCGGTGCCGCTGGGCTGGGCTGGCTTTTAGGGCGATGCGGTGAGCGACAGCCAGGAGCTCTCTGCTCCGGAGTGCTCTCCTCCAAGGTATTCCTGAGCACGCAAGCTCAGAGCTTTACAGACGGAAGAAGAGACTTGCACATTACTCCCACAGAAATGCTGCAGTGCCATTTGGTCTGCTGATTTTTTTTTCTGTAAGTACTGAAATGACGGGGTTTGTGAAGGGGGGATGGAGGTGGAGAGGAGGAGAGATTGTCTCTTGGGGGGAGTCTCTACATCTGTTGGCTGTCATGTTTCAGCTGTGTGTGTGCATTAAGTGCAATAATCCTGTTCAGCTTGAATCTGTGCTAAATTTATTTACAGAAAGACTTTTTTTTCATCCTTGATTATTTCTGATTTTTAATGCAAGTGTAGAAGTTATCATTGTGCTGGCCCTGAGTGTGAAATAAGCTGGCTACTGACAAAAAAGGGGCACGTGGAAAGGAAGGGTGTTTGGCAAGTTTGCATTCGCTGTAGCAAAGGATTACATGCACATTCACTGTTGTAAAACATGTGGGAACAAAGGTCACTGAGCTTTATATTAATCAAAATATTTCCAGGAATGTTTTCGCTAGTTGTATGTGGGAGATAGTATTTAATTCTAGTTATTATGGATTTCAAGCCCTCAATCTTTTAAGGAACATGGGACAAGAGATAAGCATCTGGTTGGAGAATCTTTTTTATTTAACCATTGCTTGTAGTTCTCATTGCTACCACAGTTATACCACAGTGCTAGCCTGTGGAAAGCTAACTAGAAAGGGAAAATGAAAATCGTTTAAGTTGATTAAAATGCAAAAGCTAAGCAAAACGTATGAAAGTAATATGCAACTTAAATCTTCCCAAAAAAATGTGAAGCCTTGTAAGTATTTGGAGTCCTTACGCCTTCCTTAAAAATAAGCCTTAATCAGGTATGATTTCATTTTCCTTATGTATTTGATCTACTTGATAGTTTGGCCTCGAAGATAAAGTTCACTGGAATTTGAAGGGTGGCAGAAGAACGGTAATAGAGTGAGTAGCTAGCCTACTCTATTTTAACAAAGACTCCTGCATAGTGCTGTCGGTACGGTAACAGCCAGGCAAATCTGGGAGAGGTGGCGGGTGATGGCAAAATGATGACGTAGCTCCGTGTTCTGTCTTACCTGAGTTGAGTTTTATTACTGCTGTCAACCCGGTGTGCTGCAAGGTGGTCACAATTGATAGTCTGAAGGTAAATACGTATTCTGCTTTGTGCCAGCTCTGGTTTTATCAGCTGTGCCTCTGTAGTAGGGAAGCTGTTCCGTTGCCATGCTTTGGAGGCACACGAAGATGCGGTTGGTTGGTAGTTGGTAGGGTAGTACCATGGTTATGAGGGCAGGCTGAGACTCCAGGGATCTGGGTTCAGTTTCCTACTGCTTACCCTAAGGGGTTGAATTAGTCTTTGAATCCTGAACTGGAAAGCATGTCAAAAGGTCAGTCTCCTGCCTTAAGGTAGCATCAGTTTGCATTAGTGCATGCCCATGCCCTTCTAGGATGCTGACCTGTTCTGCAAGGCCCCAACAGTGCGGCTTCTGCTATCTGCTGTATGGCTGAACTGACCTTACCTTTACAACATTTTTTCTAATATTTAACCTAAGTTTCAAAACAGGGGAAAAATCAAATCCTTACTATTTGTCCTGCCCTCAGAGAACCTGGAAGCTGGAATATTTATTTTATCTTTACAGCAGCCTTTTACATATTTGAAACCTATTACCTCCCCCAAGACCTCATACTTTTTTTTTCTCAACCTGTCTAAATACTGTTGCAGTTTCTCCCTGTAGGTCCAGTTTTTCTCCTCCAGATTCTCTGCATTTTTATTGCAGTGCCCTAAATGAACTAACTCTGGCTGAGGCTGTGCCTCACCTATCTCAGTCAGTTTCCTATCCCTCTACAGAGAAGAATGTTTTATCTCACAGGTGTGCTGCAGTGAGTCTGAGAGATGTTCGTATTAATTATTGACTTGTCCCCATCACAGTTCCTGGAAAGAGGTTGGAAAGCCATGAGAAAGATAGAGTCTGTCCTGCTTTTGTCTCCAGTATTAATCCTTGCCAAGATTTTTTACTATTTTTATTCAGTTTGTACATTAGGAGCTTCCCTAGGAAATCAGTGAGGACAGCTTGTATGTGTGTGAGGGACATGTGGGAGAAGCCAGGATCAGTTCCCTTCTCCGAATTGTAGGGACCACAGCCTTGAGGTGAGCTTCAGCTGATGCCCTGGGAACTGGCTGTTGGTGACTCTGCGTGCAGCCTCTCCCTCCGGGCTGAGGAACCTTCACTCTTGTGTCTGATCAAACCTTCCCACAAAAAGCTGAGATACATAAAAACGTTTGTGTAAAAACCTGCTGTTGGAAGGAGGCTCTGCTACAAAGCTATGTTTGGACCTCAGTTCTCAGTCCCCTGCGTGAACGTCATACCATTGCTGTTCCCATCTAATTTTCTCGTTCTTTCTGTGCCATGAAGGGTGGCCGTGGCAATCGGCTGTGCTTCCCTGCCTGCTCCTTCCTCGTGGCTGTTCGTCTCTGGGGCTGTCCTGGAGAGCTCTCACAGCGGTTGCTGACCTGTTGTGCTGCAGATGAGGAAGGGTGTTACGACTGATTCAGATCACAAGACCTACAAGAAAACCAGCAGCTGGGTGCTCCTGCAGCTCTGCTGAGGAGCTGGTTTGGCATTGTGCTGTGATAGGGAGGAGGAACTGCTCTTACTCTTTCTTATGGGAGCTTCCACTTCTGTATGGCCTGTTTGGTGTCAGATTTTTTCTTTGTCATTGGAGAATCCTTTTCCAACAAAATCTCCAGTGTGTACGTGGGCGTACTGAAGCACAGGCAATCTCATGTGGAAGAGCTTCTGATCTTACAGCGCAAGCACTCTGTAAATAGCAATCTCAGTTTTCACAATATTATGCAATAGCGATGTTCGTTTTCCAAACATCTCTAGCTAGCCTGGCCTTTTGCCATTCCGTTTCAAGATCTGTTAGTAACAGATTCTACTTGCAACATCTAAAAGAGGACTTGGAGGAAATCGCAGTCCTCCTACTTTTGGCTGTTGGGGCCTCCACGCTCTAAAAATGCTGTCAGGAAGGGATTTGGTAGACGCCGTGGAGTGGAAGTTACAGGCGTGCAAGGAGATTGCGTTTGTGCGTGCACCGGGCAGCAGTGCTGTGACACACGCAGTGTGTCTCCTGGGGACCGGGGAGCTTTCAACTGGCGCTCTTTCACAGCAAAGCGCTTCCATTTGAGAGATCGGGTATGCCAGCATTTATTTTCACCTCTTTTTTTTTTTTCCCCTTTTTTCCTCCTCTTAATTACACTGACCTCATTTCAGTGCCTCCACTGGAGCTTCTCCCAGGCAATATCCAGTTGTTGTACACTCAAGAACTGTGATAATATGAGTGTTATTTGTGGTCAAACAGATCGGAGGTTTAAGCACTGTTTTTCTAGGCCTGTGTTGAACCTAGCTCTTGTTAGCAGAGATCAGTATTTAGCACAGAGACCTGCTAACAGTAGTGCTCTTTGTGACTGCCAACATCACAAAACGTTAGAAGGGTGTACTTATATTAATTATGTTGCTATAGCGATGTGGTACTTTGTTAAAAATTGCTGTGAGACACCTGGTGAGTGATGAGGGTAGCATAGAAAAGACAGGTTGGAAAATGCGCTTTTCTCTCTGCGAGCAAATGATGACATCCTGTCAGATGAAAAGGAAGGATGCAATAATTTGCTGATGTTACTCCAGTGTTTAGGAAGACGATGTGTGTCGCATAGCGCTTTGAGAGGTCTGCAGGAAGCAGGAAAAGTAGAATGTAACTTATTCTACCCGACCTCTTTAAGTGGGATGGGTAGAAAATTCCCTGCCCTCTTGGTATTTTCTGTATTCCAGATATTTTATTGCAGCGGTAACGCAGTGAGCCCTCTAAAGGAGCAGCCACCAGGAATCCTATGCAAGTCACACGGACGGAGTTCTGCAGGCGCCGGCCATTTAGACTATCGTAAAAACTCCTGATCAGAGTCCCAATTTACTTAAATAAGAGTAGAGGAAGGAAAAAAAAGAGTTAAAAAGGGAGAAGCTGGGGAACCATGTTTTTGTGTTCTTAAAATTTGGGTTGTTTTGTTTATTTTTAACCAACCCTGTGAACAAGCGTGCATATCTGATGACTAGTGAAGTGGGCTATTTGGAATAAATCTGTTGACCTTGCTAGAAATTGTGTGAGTTTGTGCCAATCATTTATGTTATGCTCTCAAAGGGAGAAGTTTGAGGATTAACTCCACTCTGGTTTTAGCTTTTGTTATCAGAGGCTTTGTTAGTATGTTCAGGTTTTGGCTATTTGCTGGTTTTGTTCTAGCCAGTATTCTTCATCCTCCACCTGAGGGGAAGAAAAAAAACACTTTTCAAAATCGTTTGATCTGATAATATGGCATTTCATTTTACTTATGGCAAGCTATTCCTTCAAATTCAAACCATAGTGTTTGCCTGAGCTAGGAGGTGGAACAACTGGCAAGCGTAAGGACCAATAAATCGGTATAGCTGTCATTATACTGATGTTAATAAAGTGAGATACTCTGTGGGCTCCTGAAAATGAGTATATAAAATTAAAGTTGTATCAGTGAATCAGCCTAGAAATTGCTTGTTTGTAGAGCATGGTGCAATGTAGCATGCTTTAGGAGGTAACATGCAAACGAAGGGAAACTTGTCACTTGTGTTGCTCATTTCTTAGCTGGCTCTGGTTTGCTGACTTACTGGAAATTATTGTGGTTTGGATAAGCTGCTCCTGAAACTGTTGTTTAAAAAAATAATGTCTCGCAAATAGACCAACATTACTAATTTGATAAAAATTAAAGCAACTCTTTGTTTAGGAAGACCTGTATGTTTTAGTTTTCACTTGGCCAATTTTTGCTGTGTATGAAAACCTGTCAACAGACATGAGCTGTGCCAGCGTGAATTAGTGCAGCAGTGCACAGCAGAGTAGTGTTCATTTTTAATCACTGCTGTGTGCCCATAGCAGATACAGAGTTCAACATACCTGTGCAAAAGAGGCAGTGGCATAAACAGCAGCAGAATACGATGATGATCTGAGAAGCAGGCTGACCGGGTTTGGTCTTTGTTGCACAGCCTGGCTGATGGAAGCGACTCCTCTTGCCTTGTGGTGTTGAACGAGTTAAGGTGACAGTGCAATGTTCGCCAGATGAATTCCCTTTTTTGCAGCTCTGTAAATACGTGTGTTTTCGTGGGGGAGACTGTACCCTTTGCAATATCCACAACAGAACTTTCTTAGAGAAATAATTAAATTTGTGTTTAATTTAGAATCCTCATCTGTATAAATATTTCACAGATGGTCCCTCAGAGAGGTGGAAGAGGGAAGATGTTATCCACACCTCATGGCCAGGGAATCTTTGGCTGCTGGTCTCAGTTTTAGGGCCTGGAGGTCAGGCGTCTCACGTGTTTGCCGGAGTGGCTTGGTTTTACTGGAAGAGGAGATCTTTACTCTCTCCAGACCAGTACATTTTTGCGCAAACTCAGTTAAAAAGCCTAAGAAGGGCAGTGTGCCTACATCATCTGCTGCTCCGGATGGGAGGGCCCTGGGAGGTGGATGGAGGGACGCGACGGCACCGGGCAGGGCAGGGAGGAGGAGGAACAACATGCATGCAGGTTGTAGTTCACTGGTCTTGGATTTGCAGCTGTGGCAAACAATTCCAAGTATGCTGCTGGTATTCTGCATCTTTCCTGTCGCTGCTGGCTACCAGAATGTCCCATACGTTCTGTGCCTCTCGGTGCTTTCCCCTTTGTCGTATCCCAGAGCCTGGGGTGAGGGAGAGAAGAGGACACAGGAGAAGGAGCAATGTTTGCCACTCATTTGCCGTGATCTCTGTCGGGGAAGGAGCAGGGGGCACAGAATGGTTGGTTTGGTCTCTCTTCCCCTTTTAGACTTCGTAGCGCATCTAATGATTCTGCAGCTTTATTGGCTATGAGATGTGTTGCTTTCGAGCTTTTATAGGCAGTAGCTTTTTTCCCAGTGGAGCGGTTGTCATGCGGTCCCCAATTTACATGAACGCTAAAGAGAATGATACAAAATGAAGTGGCGTTGCTGGAACAAAACCTATTAATAGCTTTGCAGAGAGGCACTGACGCATCTCAGAGATAACACTTGGAATTAAAGCTGAGGATAATGATCGTCTTCGCAGGCTATGTTTTCCCAAAATGAGCAGGAGGGCTCAGTTAGAGATGCTTTCAAAGGGCAGTATTTTTTCAATAAAATTTCTCAAAATCAGGCTTGCTTGAGACATCTCAACTTGGGCTGACACAAACTGAGGCAGATACCTCTAATCACTGTTGGGTATCTTGGCCAGCTGGTTGTCTTCAAAGCACTGCCAAGCAGTGTTACAATATACCTCCTATTTTCCCTGATAAATGTGTATTTTATTTGACAACTGTTGTTTCCAAATAAAAGACGTTTTTAGTACATTTCTGAACTTGTACCAACTTAAAAATGGCTATCACAGACTAAAATAAGTTACACTCTCGTCTTTTGGGTGATACTCCTAAATTGAGCATATTAAGATTAATTTGTTGTTGATATTGTGTGGGTAGAGGCTTGCAGTGGCTTCATGACAAAAATGTAATTGTTAAGAACGTTAGTTTAGTTCAATACTTAACCACAGCGTACAGAGCAAGCTCGTTGTCTCGTGGTGGTCACCTTGGTGGGGCTCTTGAGTCTGTGCTGCCTTTGTTGCAAAGGTACAATTCCTGTATTATCCTGTAATCCTCTTAATGGAATATATACGTATTTGGAATATATACTTACCAGAACCGCCTCTGTCATATGAAGTATGCCTAAACCCTGGATTTTGAAACAGTTACCTCAGAGATGGAAGCAGAGCCTGTTACTAATGAATCGCAGGGGATTTCTGCCTCTTGGTTTCATTAAATGTTGGGTTTATTACGATTCCCCTATTACACACATGGATAAAGAACAGCAAGGTCAGAGGCAGGATCAGAGGAAAAACTGTCACTATTTGTGACCCAGATTTCAGAGCTGCGCTGCAAGATGCTGCATTTGTGTGAGATATTGAATTACTTATTTTAAACACAGCCATTTACCTTTCTGAGACACAAACCTTTCCCAAACAGTGTTCTTTGAGCTATTGCGAACATCACAGTGTTGGACTCCATCAAGGTTTTTCGGTGATTACTGATAGTGAGCGAAAGCAGCTCTGCGTAGGAGTGCGGAATTCACGGCAAAGGCTTGCTCAAGGCGTAAGGGACAGACTCACGAACAGAGGTGGAAGCAGATGTGCTCTTAGTCCTTTACCGCAGGATTTGCCTCTGTTTCTGTAGGGTTGCCCTGTCATTTCACTTGAATGTTTTTTAAAGCCACCTCACTGGTATTAGTTTTATTTTAACGCTTGTCAAAGATGAGATATTTAGTTCGCTTCGGACAGTACAAGGTAATTGGTCTCATCTGTCAAACGTTCTCCATCAGGTAAGGTATTTATTCTGAGCGGAGAGCACAGAAAATATGGTCTGTACTCAGGTTTTCATTATTTCTTACAGGGCACAGATATATCAGTCAAGCTGCAGCTAAAATTGATGTGGATTTTGATTATGATGGACCTCTAATGAAGACAGAAGTTCCTGGACCACGATCTAGAGTAAGTTCCTGAAGTGTCGTAGCTTGTATTTTTTTTTTCTGTAGCTGTGTCTAACTTGCTAGAAAACGAATTTAATTCCAAACCTTAAATCTGATATGAATAAACATAATTTCACAACAGTCTATGTCTGCTTTTATAAGGATGCTGAGAAAGAAAAACTCATGAATGAAATGCCCCTCTCTGAGAAAGAGAGATCTAAATCTCAACTGCCCACTTCCGACGTGAAGCAAAAGAGCATCAGTTTGATGAAACATCTCATCAGACTTGGCTACTTGTGCTCCAAATGAAATGGAAACTTAGTTGGCTTTTTATGATGTGAAATAATGCTTTGGTTTTGAAATGAAGCAAGAGTTTCAATTTGCTGGACATTGTTTGACTCTGGTAGTGTTAGTGGTAGAGTTAGTAGTTATATGTGTGGTGTTTTGGGTTGTTTTTTTTTTTTTTTTTTTTAGTAAAAAGGAGCTGTCTTTCTAGAACCAGAGTGCCAGCATCCTAGCTGTGTGTCTCTGGCTTCTCTTATTTTCTGATTTCTCTCTTGTTTTCTCGGTTCAGTTGATCAGTGTAGAAGAGGCAGCTTTCCCTTTCTGGAGATTTACAGTGAAACTGTGTATGCAGCCCAGGTGGCTCTGCTTGCCACAGTGAATAGTTTTGACTGTCATATTTGCAAGATGCACTATGAAAGTTCACGTGGCAAGTCGAGTTGCCTGGTAAGCCATAGGACTGCAAGTTTTGCATATGATTTATGTGATGTAAAAAAGAAACATGCGTTCTTCTTCAGTATTTGGTAGTTAGATATCTGAGTCTCTTTGATGTTTGTTTTTCTACAGGAATTAATGAAGCAGCTGAATGGAATTCAGGTAATTTGTCAAGTTTTCTGAGTTTGGGGAGTGTTAATACTGTGATTTCAGAACTTGTTTTAAAATCCTGTTTTGTATGTTAAATACCATACAAAAAAAAAGGTGAAACACTGACTCTGGGTTTGCATGCTGAGTATATGATGTGCATTTGAATACAATCTTTTTTACTATGTTTTGAATACTGCAGAATTATTTTGCTAGGATCAGTGATTTTTCTTTAAACATTTTATGTCCCTTTTGAGTTGTTGTCAAGTGGCCAGTGAAAACATAGGTATATTTGAGCTTAGAAGTATGTCAGCCTAAGTGCTTGTTGCCTCCCAAGATAAATGATTCGTCCAAGTCTGTGCTTCATTTCTGTAGAAAAAGTGCATACTTGCCCTTTTAACCGTTCCTCTTTATGAAAATAGCTCTACAGTTAATTTACATGCAATGAATATAATCAGAGAGTCACAGAAGGGTTTGGATTGGAAGAGACCTTTAAAGGCCATCTAGTCCAACCCCCTGCCACAAGCAGGGACATCTTCAGCTGGATCAGATTGCTCAGAGCCCTGTCCAACCTGAGCTTGAATGTTTCCAGGGATGGGGCATCCACCACCTCTTTGGGCAACGTGTCTTTGCATCTTATCATTAGATATTTTGATCAGATTTTGCTATATAATCATTAGTTACACCTTCCTCCCCACTGCTACTTTTTAAAGTATTAACTGTTTGTTTTTTCCTTTAAGAATGCAGAAGCTGTGCACTTTTTTTGCAACTATGAAGAGAGCCGAGGAAACTACCTAGTAGACGTAGATGGCAATCGCATGCTGGATCTCTACTCTCAGATTTCATCCATCCCAATAGGTAGGAGACAGTTGTACCGAATCATTTTGCATTGTCCTTAAGCTGTCATTTTCTTACCTCAGCCACTACCAGAGAAGCTGGTCAATTAACTGAAAAAAACAAAGCTGGTGTAACGTATGCCTTGTTGCAATCAGGGTACACCTCACTGCTCTGTATTACACAGTGGGGTTTTTGAACAGCTGAAGAGACTACACACTCGATACGTAGAGCTCACTTGAAGTACATAGTGGTACCTGGAAGAAGCTTCAGTATTAATCTTAATTTGAATGTGCAAGTTCTGTAATTTAGGTTGTCTTTGCTTGGATTTGTATACTTTGCAATTCTGTAGCAGCGTGTTACTGTTTTAAACGCTAACAAACATAACTTCATGCTTTAGTTAACATTTCTGTCTCAAAAGAACTGAAAAAAGGAATTGGCCATGTGAATCCAGTAGGATGAAGCAAGACCAAACACTGAACTGTGGTGCTGAGAGAAAGCCAAGGTGGGAGGTCAGTTGGGCTGAGGGTCCAAACCATGGACCTGTCAAGTGCTTGGGAAAGTCAGTTGATTTTTCTCGTGGAGGATTTCAAGAAGCAAAAGAAGTAAGGCAGAGATGTAGGCCCCAACTGCAAGGAATATAGGTTTCAGTGGGTGTTCACTTTGTTTGTTCCTCATCCATAGTTCCTCTTAGTTGCTTAAAAATACATTTCTGCAGAAGCAAAAAGAGCAGAAGTGGTGGGGTAATTTAAAAGATAGATGTGCTATGTACAGAAACAGTGATGACTCAAAATCATCCCTACAGGCCTCTTTTAATGGGAAACAAAATTTAGTGATGGCCTTACCAGGTTTTTGGCATCTAAGACCTTGTGACTGCAGTGAGTTTTCAGTTTTCCCAATCTTCTTTGCAGACAGTTAATATTTTTGCTCTTGTGTAGCACCTCAATAAATGTGTAATCATTCCAGAACTCCTCAATGCTTGTAGCTTATTTTCATCAACATGAGTTCTAGAGATTTTTTTTATCTTTTAGAGGCTACACTGAGATAACTTTGTCACTGCTAATGTGGAAAAAGGGGTGAGACGAAGAAGCACAATACTTGTATGCCAACTCTCATCTAACTTAGATGGGGTTGGATGTTAGGTTTCTAGGAAAGGAAGTGCATTTAGTGTTCCAGACCTCCCATTCTACACGCAAGAAATGCTGATTTGGAGAAGCTAGTGAGTGATCATGTAGTCGAAAGAAAGTCAGTGCAGACTCCAAAAGAATTAAATTAAGGTTGTACAGACAGTGCACTGAGACTTTCTGACCTGCTAGTGCTCGGTGGTGCACGCATCTCTCTGTTAGTACGGTTTTTGTATATAAAATATTTAAGTATTGAGGGGGACTTATTTTCTTAGTGGGCAGAAATTCTTAAAAAATATGTTCAACTGTTTATTAGCAGCTGAATATCGTCAGTATTTATGCATCCAAAATGCTGTGTAGCTTTTTCTGACCTTTGTGGAAAATTGAGTAAAAAAAGTTCATGTCTTTGAAATAATTTTTCCAGGCTATTTAGCTAGTTGCATGAATTTATTTTTCTTAAATCCTGTGATTTTAAAATAGGATTTTGACAGTTCTCTTTTAGCTCAATTGCTTCCCTCCCAATCATAGGTAAACTTTTTGCCGAAAAGCAAATGTTCAAGAAATAAAATGCAATCTAGAGTGGGAAAGCTACTTGAATTACATTCTGGATGCTGACAGGTAAAAAGGGATATTCTCAGGAATGCGGTATGCAGTCTCCTTGTCAGCTGCTGCTGATAATATGTAACTTTAAAATGAATGAAGTGTTGGATGCTTTATGCTGCTTTATGCTAGATGTTGAGAGACTTGCAACCTCTGCTTACAGCGTAAATGCAGCATAGGCAGCAAAATTGCAATTCCTGCTAACATTTACTTCAGCTGTGAATTGGAGTGGGGCTGAATTTGTACTGTCTGCATACATTAATCCTTAGACGGCTCTTCCCAAGCCATGGAAATGAGAATGCAGCTCTGAGCTTATAATGCTGAATGCAGTGAGAGTGTGAATTTCCCAAGCCTATGAATATATTGCCAGTAAGATAGTTAACATAACCCTTAAACATTTAAATTGAACTTGCATTCGATTCCAGTTGGTCTAAGAGATCACTTAGTTCCTTGGAACCAACTGTAATAATGCCTGATTTGGTTAAAATTGCCTAAAAATCTGATTGTTCATATCTGTAGCACTATTAGATGTACTAGTAATGTCATATACGACCATAACTGAACTGAGATCTATTAAATCTCTTGAGATACCTATACTAGTCATGGGATATAATAGCAGGGGTTTCTGCAGTTTACTTTCTCTGGCTGACTGAAACTGGTGACATAGATACAAGACTGCGGTACCTGTGACTGATACTCAGCTAAGCCATCTGGTTCCTCCTTCACGTGTGGCAATGCTGTCTTGAGGAGAAGCTGGGTTTTTTGTCCTAGAGGACGTGTTCCTGCATCCTGAAGGAACCATAATACAGTACTTCATGCAGCTTCTCAGATAATGGCTCTGTGATGCATAGCAACAAGAAGTAAATGGACATTTAATACTTACAGGCTGACCTACATCTAAGTGAACACGCAGCATGAATTTATTTTTTTTAAGTTGTATTGAATGACAAGACTGACTGTCTGAAGCCGCAGAGGTTGCTAATAATGTCCCTCAAGGTGACAGAGTTAGGTTCTAGACTGGGACATCAAAACAAGATCACAAATCGTTTGCTAGTCATCTGTGCTTATCTCTCTGCAAGTAAATTCAATAAAACCTTTTATGAATCTGTCAGGACTCCCCAAGATTTAATAATGATCTGCTACACTAGAATATATTTATCAGCAGTGGCTGAGAGGTAATAAGTGCCTGCACGGAGAGATAAGAATTGAAGTATAAAAAACCTCTGGGTAAAGATGTTTTGGGCTGCTTCTTACTGAAAAAAAAAATTGAAACAGTTTTTTACCACATGTTTTTTTGGGAAGTTGTAGCCCAACATACTCCTTGAAATCTGTATCTGTTCTGCCTAATGGTGTTAGAAACCCCATGGAGCCAAATGCAAGAGGGGATTCTGTGTGTGCTTACTAGCAAACCTCCTGGAATAGCGAGTGGAACAGATGTTTTTCAGTGCTGGGAAGGTCTGGCTTTGTCTGGGGAGATGCGGAGAGGGGTCGTTTGGGATTGTTGACAGCAGCCTGCTTGCTGCTCAGTTGAAATGGATTCTTTCGGCTTTCTCCATCCCATTATTTTAGCGGCCTCCAGTTTATTTTCCATTTACAGACTGGCACGTTCATGAGCCTGGAGGACATGTATGTTCCTGTCGCGTTGATCTACACACACAGCATGAGTGGTGAAGCGGGTGCCCTGCTCTTAGGAGCCAAACCTTTGCATTGGTCACAGCAATGAAACAAGTTGCTGTCTGTTTGCCGTCTCAGCCTGGAGATTTTTGACTTCGTCTAGCACAGCTGTTTAACTAGTTAGTTCTTCCTGGTGTTAGTTTTATGCCTGTGAACCCACGTACCAGCACAGCATCTTTCTACACCAGAGCTACTCTTTCAGAAAGAGTCAGGCTTTACAGATTCTCTCTTACTTCGCTGGGGCCTGTTTGAGGATGCGCCAGTGGAACAGGGAGTGCTGGGAGGGAGAGAGATGGAAGAGACCTCTTGTCTGGGTGGGAAGAGGCAAGTTGTGGGTAGTAGAAGCCTTGAATTTGTGTTACGTAGGAGAAGATGCAAAGATCTCTGCATTCCTCATGCATCTGAACACCAGCAACAGAATGACATGTTTTCACAAGCAATACCTGAGTTAATAGTTAAGCTTCCTAAGCAATGGTAGCTATTTATAACAAACTGCTGTAAGATTTAGTTTGGAGATTTCTGAAACAATAGATACGCTCTCAAAGGTGCTCTCAGCGGCAGCCACAGCTCGGCTCTCGGTGACACAGCTCTCAGCTGTGTCATTCCCTCCAGCCTAACAGCAGTTCTTTCCATGACAGGAGATGTCTGTGTCCCAAGTAACCACTTGTTATTATCTTCATAACAGTTTTAACAGATTCTTTGCAGCATGACATGCTGTTAAAGCAATCTGGGTATTTCCTTGTTTTGAACTAAAATATTCAAAATGGGATTTATAATTGATTTGTTAATGCAGTAGCCTAATGCTCCATTGTTCAGACAGGATAATCAGGGCATTCACCTAGAATGAGGAGTTCAGAGGCAGGATGTTTCTACAAGGAATATAAAATATGATGTTAATCTCTGGCTTTGGCATTTCATACACTAGAAATCAGGCATAAAATGAAATTTTCTGAGCTCTTTTGGTGAAGATTATTTTTTTGACATCAGAAACATTGGTTTGACTGTAAGCAAGCAGGTTATCCCATAAAATATCAATGCATATAAATTAAGCATCTTTGTTGTGTTAAACCTGAAGCATCCTTAGTACCTTGATGCTTCTGGGTAGAAAGGATAAATTGTTGCATCTTTTCTAACTAAAAGTTTGTTTTGGGAAATCAGTAAGTGTGTGGATTTTGGCTTGACTGTTTCTTATGGTCAGCTGCCAAAGACCGGGGAACTGGATGGAAGAAAAGCACAAAGGGGGAAATACACATTTCTAAGTTGATTTTTACCATGAGGAGAAATCCCATCAGTTTAAAAGCACAGAGAGGGGGAAAAAAAGCTCTGTTACTGTGCTAGGAATAATCAGTCTGATGTTCAAGGAGGGTAAAAATTGCTTTGGAACAAGAGATGTAGCACTAGGTACTGTAGATGGGCACGGCTGCGTGGGGAGCTTCCCTCTGTGGTGCAGGGTCCGAAGCCGTTCCTGAAACACGTGTCGGGAGCCGGGGCTCAGCGAGAGCCACCGACGTCGAGCAGACCCAGGCTGCACAGTAAGCAGCCTGCTCCGGGCAGGAGATGCTGGAGACCCTCCTGCAGCTTGGCTAAATGGTGACCGACAGGCACAACGGCTTGTGGGCCATGTTGCCAGATTTCCGCCCTCGATGGAGGGAGAGGAGAGGCGAGGTTCACACGTGGTGCTGTGGAGAAACCAAATGTGTGTGGGAAACCTAGAAAGGAGAAGCAAGCGAACATTTGATAGTGTCAGGCCCACAATACTTGGTAGAAACGACAATGTTTCAGTCAGGCTGTATCAGGCAAAAGATCCATTCAAGTTAATTTTTTTGTGTTCGATTTTTACCTCTCAGGACTGAAATATGTTTTGCTATTGCCTGATGCCACATCTGTTCCAAAGTTCCAGATAGTAATATTTTGTAAAAGGAGAAGTTTGTCCTAATTTGCGAGAAGTTCTACTATAAATAGTTAAAACATACACAAGTTACAGAAACAGTTAAGCATCAGAATAAGGTTATCCTCTAGATTACTCTTTACGCTAGTTTATTGAAACCATATAGAAAGAACTGTTTTCTTTCTTTGTTCTTTCTAATTAGGTTACAGCCATCCCTCTCTGATAAAGCTTCTACAGCAGCCACAGAACTTGGTAAGTGAATTAAAACATTCAGCACCTGAAAGAGTCTTCTCCCTCCTCGTGGCCATCTTTCTTATTTTTTCTGAAACAGATAATGAATGCTTAATGACTCAATTTAAATTATGGTGGGATCTGCTTGCTTTATTTCTGACTAGATGAAAAGAGCTTGGTAGTATTTAAGAAGACATAGCCCAAGTGTGGGCCAGTTCCCTCTCTCACTGCGTTTCCCTTCCTAAAGAGCCTGCTGGCTCACTCCAGCAGTGTCAGTCCTGAGCCAGCATGTCGGAGGAGCGCAGACAGCCGAGTTCCCCGAGCTGATGTGCTGTATGGAGTTCTCATTTCTTCAGGAGGAGAAATTCTGCCTTCTCCAGAACTAAAATACGTCCAGTTTTTAAAAAAGCACCAGAGCTAGAAAAGCTGGAGTTACCAAAGGCAGATGTGGATATCACGGAAGCACTAATATTTCTAAATATTTATATTGACTTTTAAAAATTATTTCTGAGGTGATAACAATACCTTCATTATAACACAGCAGTAGGCAAAGTCAGATTTAAAAAAAACAAACAAAAAACCAGAAAAACCCAAACCAAAAAAAACCACCCAAAAAACCTGTTGTCTGGTGGCAGTTGGTGGTTTGTCCGCTGGGGAAGGGAAGTGAGCTGGCTGCCTGCTGGAAGCCTGCAGCGGGAGAAGCTGCCCCCAGAGTCCAAAAGGGGTGCTGCTGCCGGGACCCCTCTGTCCCACCTGCGAGTGTCGGAGATGTTACCGGTACCCCGTTCCGATTTCAGAGCGGGCGGCGCTAAGCCGTCGGTCTGCCGAGGGTTTCCGGCTGGCTGGAGCCCGGGTGTCCCTGGCTGCCGGCAGGAGTGTGCGCGGGGGTCTGGCGGTGGCCAAGGTGCCAGCTTTATTGGGAAAGTACGTCTTTGGAGTGGTGCACACTGAGGTAAGGCCCTGGTTTACTGTTAACACTGGGATCACTGTTGGATGGATTTTTTGTTTGGTTTGTTCGTAATGCGCCCTGTACCCTCTTTATAGCCAGCTGTAAAGAACAGAATACGTATCTGTTCCTTTGAGACCATAGCAGCTTGATGTCGACGTTCTGCTTTTCTCAGTACTGAGTAGCTCATTAACAACAGAAGAAAAATACACTTTTCTGCTTAGTGGCAAGCATTGTGAATTGACTGTGACAGCCCATAATCAAATTCACAACAAATTTATGGTCTCGTATCTCTAACTTTATATGAAAATGTACTTCTAAACTGAGATTAAAAACCATCAGATTTCTCTTACATACTAAACAAACAGTTTGTGTTAATCTGTCAGTAACATCCTTGCTTAGGTTTGTCTTTACGCTGGAGTCTGTTGAAACAAACATTGTTTTGAAAGTAATGCACTTGTACAAGTTACAAAGCCCTAGCTCGTACTCTGTTCTGTCTTGCGTGAGATTTGGTTTTCCCTGAGAATTCCAATGAAGTGTTCTTACAGGTACAGTGTGGCCACTCACACCTCTTGCTGTGGTCCACATACTGAATAAATGAGTACTTCTGGTGAGGAAAAAGATTGAAGGATGCTGATAAAGGTGCAAACTTGAGTTGCACTGAAAATACGAACGTTTTGGGAAGAGGCAGTCTGTCCCCTTTGAAGACCCATGAAGGCTTAAGTCATCAAAGCTCAGCCTTTAATTTCAGTGATGACTTGTTACAACAACAAGAAGAAAAACAGCAAACAAAGGAAAAAAGTGCAAATAATGCTGCTTTGCCATTGGCAAATTTATTGAGCTTCTCCTTTTCTGAGCAAATTTAATTTAAAATAAAAAGTAGCACATTGTGAATCAAATGAGATTACCTACAAAGACTAATAGCAATGATAAATCTATTTTAATCCATGACACTTAATTGAAATTAATTGCATAAACATGACAAATTAGTCTCCATTAGTGGGCTGGGGAGACTGAGGGGGTTTTTCCAGAGCTGCTCTTCAGAAGCGCCTGTGTGGGCAGCAGGCTTAGCTTCACTGACACAAAACTACCTTTCTCGAAGGTGTGAGTCCCAGTGTGGCCAGTTCGTAGGACCAGTGGGACAAGTCAAGTTGGAGGGGACCTCAGGTGGTCTCCTGCCTGCTCAGAGAGGCTTGGCTGCGAGATCAGACCAGGTTGCTCAGGATTTTATCTGGGGTCTTGAAAACGTCTAGGGAGGGAGACTGCACAGCCTCTTTGGGTAACCTCTTCCACTGCTTCACCGTTCTCTTGGTGGAAAAGCTTTCCCTTATACCCAGAGCAGCACCTCTCCTGTTTTGGTTTATGCCCTTTGCTTGTCATCTTCCCACTGGAGAGCCTGGAGCCTGGCTCCGTCTGCTCAGTAGCCTCCGCGGAGGTAAGAGAAGGCTGTGTTCCCGTAGTCACTGCTGTGATTACCAGGGCTCTTGCAGCAACACAGAGTCAGTTCTGCTGACAGACAGGGAAAGGGAATGGCTGGAGAAAAGAATTCGGGGAAGTAGGCTTGAGTTCAGCCAGGTAGTTTCCCGGCAGGCTATGGAATTCCGCTGTTAGGAGAGACCGCGTTCCATCCGTGCAGACCATTTCAGCATGAGTGGCTCCCGGTCCATGTCAGACCTCCATCAGGAAGTGGAAGGGAGAAAACTGAGAAGCTGGAAATCTGCTGTTGTAACGCACAATAAAGAATATGCCTGTCGTTCAGGCTGAGCACCGAGACGGGTGAGTGTGCAAACTGAAGGCCCTAAAGCAGGAGAGATTTACCTGCAGATAAGCAAGCTTCCTGAAAACAGCACACGGTTGAAAAGGAATTTCAGCAGCGTGTCTGGAGATGTCATGGTCAATGTTCTTGAGCTTGATTAAATTTATCTTGCTGAGTAGTGAGGTAATAACACACAGGGTGGCTTCTCACCGATCTCCTCACTGCCCTGCCCGTTACTGTGCATGCCAGAGGAGTGGAGAAGGCAGACTTGTGTGTGTGCACAAGCTTTTATTTTTTTATTGTAGTGTTGTGTTGCTGTTCCTTGCACCTGTGGTACCTTTCTCAGATGTAGTCCCTCTCCTTTAAGTTTACCTTTGTCTTGTTCCCCCAAATCCTGTTGTAATAGTATCTGGAAGATGTTTATAACCACAGTGTTCTGAAATGATCTGTTGTGAAGCTCAGTAAGGAAGAAAGTGCTGCCATCCTAACTGAATTTAGGTTTAGCTACTCCAACTGAAGGCAAGTAATTAAGATTTTAAAGTGTATTTCCTGTGTGTAAGCAAAATTGAGATTGAGCAACTACAATGGCAATATTGAAGAGGAAATGTCAGTATCAGTTAGCATGCACCTTTTCCGAGGTGTCCTACAAGACTAAAGGATTAAGGATTAGACAGAAAGACATATTCTAAGACATGAACATTTTTCCCTGGTTTTAAATCTGCCAGTGCCATGGCTACAAATTTGTGACTGGTATTTGTAATTAGAATAAAATGTAACTGCCTTGATATCAACATGATACTTTTCATGGGATGGCCAAACCTAACAATTTCTCTTCCTTTGTCTTTGCAGAGCACTTTTATCAACAGACCTGCCCTAGGGATTTTACCTCCAGAGAACTTTGCAGAAAGACTGAAGGAATCTTTGTTATCAGTAAGTTTGAGAGAGCAGCGATGAGTTACCATGTTCTGTGTTTAGGGGCACAGGCACATCAAGGGGTGGTCTGGATTTTAATAGGGGACATTACAGATTAGCTGTTTGTCTGCCTTCCCACTGCGAGTAATGGGATCGAACCATTTTCCCCGACTTGACAGCTGAGTGCGAGAGGGTGACGTGTCTGTGCTGCAGAGATCCTGCCTCTCTCACTCTGGCTTCAAGAACTGGTGAGAAAACACACCTTCACTAGCTGCTGTTCACTGTGCTTTCAAAGAGGTGGTGGAGTACATGCCTTCTGTTTGTCTTGTTTTAAATTTGAAGACCCTTGGGACTGAAACTGAGTTGGGCCGTCTCAGCTGCAGTTCACATTGCCTTTCCTCATCCTAGCACAGCTGCTCTGGAGCTCATGATGTTAAGCACTGATCAATATTGTCATCACTCTGCACTGTGATTGCGCTTAATATTTTGTAGTAATTTTCTGTCTTTATTGACAGGTGGCTCCTAAGGGCCTGCCACAGGTGATCACCATGTCTTGTGGATCCTGCTCCAATGAAAATGCCTTTAAAGCAATATTTATGTGGTACAGAGTGAGTAAAATATTAACATGTTTTTTGTAGGCTTAGATGTAGAAACGAATATTTATTAAACATCAGAACTTTTACTGCAAAACAACGTAAGGCTTGGAGGTTGTCGTGTTCATGGTGTTGTTTATTTTCAACCTAGTATAAAATCTTTTTATTAAAAAGTCTTCATCTAAGCTTTCGCTTTATATTGACCCAACTTTAGAAATTAGAAAGAAAAGGAAGTAAAGAAAATGCAGATTGCAGTCAGTATGTAAGAGCCCCAATCAGTGTCTTTATTGGCTCTAATTTGGAATACCAGCATTATTAATTTGTGGTTCAGCCATAAATGCATTGGTTACAACTACAGGAAAGCTAGCAGTTGGGGTTTGTTTGGTTTTTTTTTCCAGAACAAGGAGAGGGGCCATAATAACGTCACAAAAGAGGAACTGGAATCTTGCATGATTAACCAGGTAACATTTGTTCTTTACTACACCTACAGATGTACCATTGACTTGGGTTTTAGAAGATTGGGAAGACTGGCAAGGGAAAATTGGCTTTACCTTCTCTGAAGTGGAATCTCGGTTTTGTAAATTTAGGAAATAGTGAAATACAAACTGCTTGCAACAAATATCAAGAGCTGCTGCTTGTATTCTTTTGCATCCTTCCCAGTTGTGAATCTTGGGAAGAGCTCCCATTTTTCATGACTTCTCACTTGCTAGAGAGGGGCCCACGTGATGGGTGGATCCTTGGAGATCGTTAATACATAAAAAAGTTTACAAATAATAACAACAGACTTTCTAAATTTTTTTCAGAAGTTGTGATTTATGGCTTAAAACTGACCAAGGGGTTGGTTAAACTGTTAACTGACTAAATGCTAGTAACAGGCAGAATGAGGAAATTGAAATGCAGCTGATAAACCTCTGAAGTCCTATTCACCTTCAACCGACGGGGTCGTGCTCTTGCCAGTCACAATCTCAACGTGCAACAATAGCAAAAAATAGATATTTAATCTCTTCTTTGAGACACACGTTAGAAGTGAGTAACCTGCTGGTCCCAGCCTGATCTTTAGCACTTCTGTAGTGACGAGCATTCAATTCATTCACATGGGATTAGGGGACTCATATAGCTGTTTTTTTTGTTAGTTTTGTTTGTCTTCGGAATTATTTTTTAAACTCTGTGATGTTGCTTACAGCATGGTCAGACAGATGGCTGTGCCAGTACAAATATGAGGCACACCATGACCTGAAGGAGCAGGAATTTCATAAGATGATGAAAGAAATGTGAAACTAATGATGACTTTTTGTCCAAGTTTAGCTATCTAAATATTAGGATTCCTCTTTCAGCTAATTGTCTGAGTTCTTGTCGCGAATGAGTGGTTAGGTCGCTTAAAGAATCACCGTCAAAGGTATATGCAAGGAAAGATTTTACTAAAAATCTTTAAAATATGATTTTACAAAGCTCGTTGGCAAGGTTCACTCTATTACTTATCAAATGAATGGAATACAAAATTGAGGTAGGGTTGAGGTAGAACAGTTTATGCAGAGATTGAAGAAAGATGTAAGGGGTACGGGAGGCCCTCCCATTGGGTCACCAGGTTGGGAATGGACCCCATCGCCTGCTAAACTCCTCCTCAGAGAGAAGCCTGGGTGTGGCTGGATCCAGACCCGGCCTCAGACCACAATGATTTGTGTCTAAAGGATATGTCTAGCAGCAATTCATGGTGTGTTCACAGTGAGAGAGAGAGAAGAAATTACAGAAATTTAGCAGCAATTAATCACTGGTTAATTTAGCATTTACAGAATGATTAAAAAGAATTCACTACTACAGTCACAGTAATGGGATGTTATGCTTTGAATTGATTCATGCACACAGACAATATGCATAGATAAAGGTAGCTGTTAAAAATTCCCCTCAAGTTCAGTGAAATACTTCAAATCAAATGATTTTCTCAGCGGGCGAAGGTTGAGCCTCCAGGAGTGAGGGTTCCCTGCAGATCAGCCCAGGTAATTTTGCCCCTCAGAGTTGGCAGTGCTCTGCAAGGCATCCGGAGATGCTGGGCGCAGCTGCCACGGGCCAGGAGAGCTCAGAGCCTTCCTCGGTACTCCTGTTTGTAGGGTCTAGAGATGGTTGACTTCAGGCATCAGTAAATTTCCATCCTGGCCACAATCTGCAGGAGGTAATCCTGGCGTCTCGACAGCAGCCATACAATTCCAGTGCTTCCCAGACTGTGCAGCTCCGACATTCACCAGGCTGGCGCGATCCGGGCAGCCAGAGTTCCCGGTGTGGTCAGGGAACGCCTGGTTGGCCAACTCCCTGCTCCTGCACACAGACAAGGACGGTGCCAGGCCATCCGCGCTCACTGCTCTCGGTCAAAGGCAAATGGTCAGTTATACCAGCTGACTGTTCTTGCAGTGCAAGCAAGAATGCTGGTTCTGAGATACGCGGGGGCGGCGGGGGGGGGGGGGGGGGGGGGGGGCTGCACCACCACTCCATCCCCCTTTTGGGAGGGATCCTCCAGAATCCAGTTACAGGTATTGGAGCCTTCACCCTGTAGCTGGGTGTGAGGTACAGGACTAAAGGTGTAAACGAAGTAAGTGGTAACCGTCCTCTCGCTTGCAGGGTAAGAGAGAGGCGTAAAGAAAGAGAATTTTTCAGAGGGGACGAGGGCATTAGCCCAAGTATATCCTTTTACCAGATAGTATACAGTTGGCATGTCTCTTGTCATGGTTCCTCCTCATTCGTGGTGCAGAAAGCCATCAGGAACGCACAGGGCATCCAGCACGGGCAGCCCCGGCCTCTCCTCGCAGAGCCCCCGCCACCGCCCGTACTCCTGTGCCTATAATTTGCACAGCGGGGCTGACTGCACCCACTGTCCAGCGCAGCCTTTGTGTGAGCTCACTGGGGAAGTGATGCTGTGGTACAGTACGAATCGCCAAGTATTCACTAATGGTGTGTTCTAGGAGGTCAGGCAGTTTTTAGGGGACGACAGCTGTGTTTGGTTAAATAGGTCAATACAAAAAATGTGTGGTGCCGGTGGCTGGAGAGGGAGCCGGCCAGCACGCTGTGAGGGGCAGCAGCTCGGACCCAGCCGTCCCCGGGGGCAGCCCACGGTCGCTTCCCCAGACAGACAGAACCAGTGGGGAAGCTGTAGGTTTGCCGAAGGTTTGCCTGGGAAGCCTCACCAGTACTGAAACAGAAGATTTGAGTGACAGTGGGAATTAATTTTATAGTTTTTGAAAATTTATTTTCAGAAGGTCCCTTATTTGCATTCTGAATCCAAGGTTGCTTGTCTATACCAGTAAAAATCTTAACTCCTGGGGTGAAATCACCACAGTATACAAACGAGATGTCCCTCATTTTTACTGTTTTGGGTCAGCTCAGTCCCTGTTCTAAATGCGTAACCCCGGAGTGCTGTAGCTCTGAGCTTTGCAAGCAGTTGTCTTTGGAGAGGTGAAACCCACCTCGCCTGAGCAGCCTGTGCAAGTGGCAGAGGTGCTCCTGCTCTGCTGGAACAGCGCATGTGGAAACTGGTGCTTAAAAGCTAGAGCAATCCACTTCAGCTTGACTACATCCAATTACCCAGGATTTCAGAAAATAAAGTAAAAACACAGAGCAATTAAAAGAATTCTACAGTCCTGGTGTCAGGCAGTGTTGCGCCTCTTGCTAGCTGTTTTCCTGTATTGTTCCCAGACAGGTATTATTTTAATTTTTGCTTTTCTGGGTTTAGGTTGCTTAGCTACAACTCACTCTAAAGCAATTCACAAATTGGACATTCCATCGCTGGACTGGCCTATTGCTCCTTTTCCAAGGCTGAAGTACCCTCTGGAAGACTTTGTGAAAGAGAATCAACAGGAAGAAGCCCGCTGTTTAGAGGAGGTAAAAAATTCACTGGCAGCTTTCTGTTGGGTTTTTTCTGAAATAATGAATAGTGTTAGCAGGATTAGCAGGATTAGCTGCTTTCGCTAGAAGAATGTTTTCAGGGATTGGAACAGCATGTGATTAAAACAGCATTGACTGTTGTGGTTAAAACAGCATTGACTGTTGTGGTTAAAACAGCATTGACTGTTGCTGACGGTCAGGAGTTTGTCCTTGCTGTGAGTTGCAGGGGTCTGCATGAATCGTACCAAAGTGAAATCCCACACGCCGGAGAAGTTCGTTACATCACAGGGAACTCTGCCAGATCTTGGGAAGTGCGGTGGCCTAAGAGAGAGCACAGTGTGTGCGCTCCTCTGCAGAGGGATCCTGTGGCAGTGCTGCAGGTTTTTCAGCTTTTCCCGGGTAGCCTTCTAGCCCAAAGCTCTGATGGGGCAGGGCTCTGCACCGACCCAACCCCGGCGGAGGGAAAGCAGGGCAGAGCCCAGAGGAGACAAACCGTCTCCGGGCACCAGAACCACGGGATTCCCTGTTGGGCTTCCTGGGATCCAGGACGTGTCACTTCTGCCAGGGCTCGCCATGGTGGGCAGCAAGGTGCAGTGTGTCCCGGGGCCGGAGCCAGAGCGGTCGCGGTCTGGAGCATCGCAGTGGGTGCAGAGGGGCTGCAGGGTGCTGCAGGGAGCACGGCTGCGCTCGGGGCGGCCGGCAGAGCTCGGCCGAAGGAAGGGACGGCTCGTGCGGACCTGCCTGACTTCAGAGAACATGGAAAGCGTGGCAAACCGCTTCCCTGCCTGTGTGCTACAGTAGCTTGGGGGGGTGGAATTGTGAGGCAAGAAATCAATCCACAGACTTGAAGCCGTTATTTTAAAAAACAAAATAAGAAGCCGAACGCTTTCTTTGAAAGTCTGCAAATTGGCTTACTGGCATGGGTTGGAAGCCATCGCTTTGTACAGCCCACAGAGGTTGTGGGCCCTGAGAGCTGTAAGCGGTATTTCAAGTACAAGTGACACTACTAATTGCAGCAGCTAGCACTGCAACATTAATTAAAACTTCTCTGCAAGCCCCTTATCAGCAACAGGATCTCCGCACTATTTCATCTGATCAATTTTAAACTATCTGAAGTGGGTGGCTAGACAAAGCAAATTTACCAGATTACCTTCTTTAATACATCATCCGAGCTTCGTTTTCTGATACAAATTCTGTTTTCTTCTCTCTTGCTTAGCTGGACTGACAGCAATGGTGTAGCAGGCTGCAGTGGCTTCCACCATGCTGCCAGCTGAAATTTGCCAGAGCTTGCACACCATTGCAGATAAATGTGCAGCTAGTTACAGTGTGGTGAGGATATGGTGTAAACTGAAGTGTTATTGAGGAACAAGAGGGCAGTGTGAAAAGCTGGAGGAACTAATTGTTAATGCCTTGTGCTTCCTGACACCTTTATAGCCAGGAACGTCTATGAAAAGTTGAAGTTCTGTTGCTGAGATTAAATCTTTCTGGGAGGAAATGTGTGTATGTCCTGAAAGGAAAATGTGCCATGCATGTTTGATTCACAGGTGGAAGACCTGATTGTAAAGTACAGGAAAAAGAAGAAGATTGTGGCTGGCATCATTATAGAACCAATACAGTCAGAGGGTGGGGACAACCACGCTTCGGATGACTTCTTCAGAAAGCTACGAGATATTGCCAGAAAGGTAATCGCATATTTCACTGTTCGCCCAGCAGTCTCCAGAGGGTTTCCAGAGGCCTCCTCCCACCCCAGGCGCTCGGAGAGCTTCACAGGCCTCCTTGGTAGCAGCTGGGGTGGGTGTGTACAGGTACTCGGGAACAAGCAACCCCTTGTCCGCACAGGATTTTCTCTTCTGTGCACACCCAGTGGTTTCCTTAGTCCAACACATTTTCTTCTAATGTCTCAGTGAGAGAGAAATTACCCTGATTCATTACCTACGAATTTCACAGTAGCATTCTTTAAATGATAATGCCCAGCTGTTGAGGGGGTTCGAACAATTTCAGAAGGGGCAAGTTTGGAAAATGGTAGTTTTTTGTTGACGTACTTGGTTTTAATTGCAAAAAAAAAGCCGAAACACAACTTAAGTCCAACCGTAAGTGCTGATGTTCCAGTAAAACAATGAAGAGGACAGATGTCTTGGTACCTGGAATGTGAAGTTACCCGTTTGGAAGTAATGACCCTCAGTGAGACCTACTCCGTGCTTTTTTCACCCTCAGAACATTTGTGTGCTTACAGAGAAGAGCACAGGTGACATTTGGAAAATTCTGTTCTGCCGTGAGAAGCAGCAGCTTTTCCCATCGTTAACAGCTGCTCCTGCATGGGTGATAAGAGTAAATAAGGTGAAACGAAGAGGTTTGCCTTGTCTGAAATGAGATGCTGCCAGAAGTACTTACCAATTGCTTTTAATTACACTATCCTGATACAGCTTGATCTCCCTGTCCCAAAGTTTCAACAAAACAGTCCTTTGCATACAAAACCCACACTGCCAGCTAAAACGCACAATTTTCAGCACACTCCTCCATGTACTTGGTTTGTGATTTTAGGTGGCAAATATGTTTCTAGTACCCTTCTGAAAAACCAGCTGAATTTTTAATGGTGGT